CTTTGTTGGTGCAGAGGAAGTCAACGAGCGCGCTTTCCTATTTAGAGGAAAGCGTGGTGCCAATGCGTACCACCTTGCCGTCAGGGCTGCCGAGATCTATGAGGACCTCTTTGGAGCCCTCTGTAGGCTCGAAAGATCCAGTCAACTTCTTGGGGTCGGGTGCTTCTTTGGTGACCTCCTTCTTGATGGCGTCAAGCTTTCCAGAGGCAACGATCGTCGCGGTGTGATCACAGCACTCGACCTCGCACTCATAGGCCCACTGGAAGGAGGTGTCGACGGTGATGACCCCATTGGGCCCCGATATCTTTAGTTTAAGGTAGGTGTAGTTGGGTACGGCCATGAACTTCACATAGCATGGACGTCCTAGGATGGTGTGGTAGGTTCCTGGAAACCCGACCACCTCGAAGGTGAGGGTTTCTATCCAATAATTGGATGGATCCCTGAAGGTAATGGGCAGATCGATCTGCCCAAGTGGCATGGCCTGTTTTCTAGGCACGATGCTGTGGAAAGGTGCCCCGGTTGGGTGGATGCGTGTCCGGTCGATGCCCATTTCATCGAGCATCTTGGCATACATGATGTTGAGGCCGCTGTCTCCATCCATCAGTACTTTGGTGAGCCACTTTGTGCCGACGATCAAGTCGACCACGAGCGGGTATCTCCCCGGATGCGGGACGCTCTTCGGGTGGTCGGTCCGATCGAAGGTTATGGCGGACTCTGACCACCGGAGGAAGGCAGGTGTGGCCGGTTTGGTCGTATAGACCTCGCATCGCGTGACCTTCTGATGGTGTTTGGAGTCATAGGCCGCCTATCCTCCAAAGATCATGAGGCAGCCATCCGATGTTGGAAAGCCACCGTCCTTCCCCTCAGAGTCGTCTGTGGTGGGGTCAGGGTCCTTCCTGACCTCTCCTTTGTTGGAGCCTCTGGAGAAGAACCGCCTCATGAGGCTGCAGTCCTTGTATAGATGCTTGACCATGAAGGCATGGTTCGGGCATGGCCCCTCGAGTAGTTTTTCAAAATGGTTCGGAGTGCCCTCCATGGGCTTCCAACCACTCCTGCGGTCCATGGCGGCCACGAGCGAGCCCTCGCACCATTGCTTCTTGTTCTTCCTTTTGGCAATGATTGGAGGCGACTTCATCGGTGTCCTCATCTTGCCTTGCCTTGCCATCAAGACGATCGAAGATCGCTCCAACTGCTTCTTCTCTAGAGGCATGGCTGGTGGCGATGTCCAAGAGTTCCTTGGTGGTTCATAGGCCCTTGCATCCTAGCTTATGAACCTGAGACTCATAGGTGGTCCCAGATAGGAAAGCTCCTATAACGTCGGCATCGGCGACTTTAGGCAGCTCATTGCACTGTTGGGAGAAGCGCCGAATGTACCCATAGAGGGTTTCATCGGCCTTCTGTCGGTAGTTCTTGAGGTCCCATGGGTTCCCAGGGCGCTTGTATGTGCCCTGGAAGTTCCCCACAAAGATCTCCTTCAGGTCCACCCAACTCTAGATTCTGTTGGACTGCAGGTGTTCCAACCACGCTCGTGCCGAATCGGCCAAGAACAGTGGAAGGTTGCGGATAGTGAAATTATCATTATTCACACCACTGTCTTGGCAGGCAAGCCAATAGTCTTCGAACCATAGTCCAGGGTTTGTTTCCCTAGAGTACTTCAGGATATTGGTCGGTGGCCGGTACCTTAGCGGGAAGGCAGCGTTGAGGATGTGTCGGCTGAAGGCCTAAGGCCCCGGTAGTCCAGGACTCAGGCTTTGGTCCTCGCCACTATCGTAGCGTCCACCATGATGAGGGTGGTAGCCATGGCTACCTCCCTCTCTCGGGTCATCGTAGGCACGTCTATGGGCGTCGAGGGTGTTGCGTGCATCACGGTTGTGGCTGAGACACTGACGCACTAGGACTGTGGTGCGCTACCTGCTTCCTTATGGTTCCTAGTGGACTGACGCGTCCCTGCCGGGGTTTTTCAAGGGTGTGCGCTGGCTGGCATTGAGCTCGCATCGCCGAGACAACGAGCTTTCGGCCTGCTGTGCCGCCGCCCGCTCGAGCAGAGTGCGAATCTCATGGTGGGCCAATGATCCTTGGGCGTCGTGGCCTCTAGAAGACCATGGAGCAAGGCCGCCGTAGCGGTGATGTTCTGGCTTGCCCAGGCGAAGCGAGGAAGGGCTTCATCATCGGCGATGATCCTTCGTTTCACACCGCGGGCCATGGAGCGTGCGCACCCACCGTCTCCGTGGAGCTCGATTTCTCGATCGAGCTCTCGCGTCATTGCTCAAGCTGCAGCCGTGCTTCCTCTATCTCTTGGTGTTGGGCTTTTAGCAGCTCCACCCGCATGTGAGGTGGGGCCACTGTCTCCCCTTGGCCTCATCACCGAGGTTGTTCACCAGGGTAGCCTCCTCCTCGTGAATGCTTTCGACGTGTCCCTCGGGGACACCCATCATGAAACATTCATGGGAGGGATGATGGCTTCCCCTGCTAGAGTTAGAGCTAGAGGGAGACTCTGGCTCCAATACTAGGAGGTCTTGGAAAGATTCCACGACGTGTTCGATCAGCCCCACGAATTCATCGTTTGTGGGAGGTGGGACCATGCGTTGTGCCACAAGGTGGTTAACGGTCGCCGTGGCGTTGCGGAGACCAAACAAAAGCACTGTCGGGGCGCTCCATATGAGGTGTTCTAGAGAGAGGGGTTCCCCTCCGGTGAGCTACGCCATGACGTTGGCGTGAGAGAAGGCAAGGCGGCGTAGGTTCTCCCTGGATGGCTAGGGTCCTAGGGAGATGCCGTGCTGGCGCTCAAGCCTCCCGTAGTCGAGGCCGATGGAGGGGAGAGGTTGGATGGCGGCATGGGCCAATGCCATCTCTCCTCCCACCGTGATGATGAAGTCTAGGTCCCTAAAGCGTACGTGTGCCCCCGGTACCCAGCTAATACCATGGCTAGCGATCCATGGCCTAATGTTAATGTCGGAATACGCAAAGGCCCCTACCTGGCGCGCCAACTGTCGGTGTTTTCGAGTAAACACCAATGAGTAAATTTGTGTTATTGCACGTCTAACCCAGATGGTGTGCTAAATGGACACAAGGTTTATACTGGTTTGGGCAGAATGTCCCTACATCCAGTTCGTGGTTGCTGCTCGTGTTATTAGCACCAAAAAGTTCATAGTAGGGTTTACAAACGGGCAAGAGAGGGATAGGTCCCAAATCTTTGATGGAAAGGTCTAATAGATGCCGAAAGCTTGGTTGCTGCTTAGCTATGTGTGATGTGATGCGTGTGTCTTGAATCGGTCCCCCTTTAATGGGGTGCCCTGCCTTCCCTTTTATAGACCAAGGGGAAGCAGAGATTACAGATGGGAGAAAGAAGAAAAACCAGTGGTCAAGGAGGTCCTTCAAAGATGTCGGGTCTTCCTTTTCCTCTAAGTGAACCCCACTGACACGGCAGACGGTGCCACGGATAGCTCCATGCTGGGTGCATGTTTGTTGATCCTGATAAGGCACGCTAGATGCCTATCCGCTGATGATGCCATGTTCTGGCTTGATCAGCAAGTGGTCACGTCCCATCCCGCCCCAGCGGGTGGCGCGATAGACCAGGGTGCTGATCCATGACCCTACGGGGAGCAGACGGCGCAGTGACTGCACGTTTGTTACTGTAGATGATGCGAGTCTCCTCCTGGACTATAGTGGTTGTTGTGTGCTTTTGTCAGGATGCGTGCCCGAGGGCAAATGGCGGCACCCACAACACTCTAAGACAAATGTCGGCACCTACAATACTGTTTTGGGCTCTGACATGCCTGGAAGGGCTTAAAGTGCTCATCTTTTCATATCCTGATGGTACTTTCCTATAGGCGCGCAGGGTATGGTCCTTGGTATTGCGGTTGACTTGAGTGCCCTACCTTATCTACGCGCGTAGTTATGAAGGAGCAGCGCGCAGACGTCGAGCGAGGCGGAGCCAGCCCCCAAGCATCGGGCGAGGTGGAGTCTGCCCCCAGACGTGTTGGGCGAGGCGGAGCCAGCCCTCGGGGGTCAGGCGAGGTGGAGTCTCATCTCAGACGTCGGGCGAGGCGGAGCCAGCCCCCGAGCGTTGGGCGAGGCGGAGTCTACCCCTAGACGTCGGGCGAGGCGGAGCCAGCCCTCGGACGTTAGGTGAGGCAGAACCAGCCCTCTAGGGTCGGGCAAGGCGGAACCAGCCTTCAGACATCGAGCAAAGCAGAGCCAGCCCCTGGGCATCGGGCGAGGTGGAGACTGCCTCTGGACGTCGGGCGTGGCGGAGCCAGCCCTCAGGGGTCGGGTGAGGCGGAGTCTACCCTCAGACGTCAGGCGAGGCGGAGCCAGCCCTTGGGAGTCAACTTGTGGCGGGGTCCATGGTCTTAGTGGACGGACGAGGAGTGACTTGGCAAGCGGTGTAGTCGCGCTCTTGATCGTGCGGATGAATTAACGCCAGCGGTCATTAGCTCCTTTTCTTCGGGTACCCTAATATTGGTCCCTGACATCTAGAGAAAAGTGTTGCCTAGAGTTGCCTGGAATTTTGAGAGAATCTGCCTGGCCAGGCAAGTTGAGAGTTATTCGTTTGGTTAGATGCCTGGCCTGAGAAAGCTAATGAATAGAGATCATGTGTTTTCTTCTCTACTGGAGAGGTAATTAATTCATTTTCTTAATTAATAATACATCAAATATACACAAATAAACATACGGTGAAAAAATAAAAACAGATAAGTGAGTTTTCTTACTTTATAATATGCTTAAATTAATGTGTTTTTTATTTATCTTTGTATAGTTAACATGTATTTTTATAATCTGATTAACCAAAATCTATAATTTAGTAAATTGTTGTCACGTGTTTAATATTAGATAATCACATTTAATAAGATTAAATAGGAAATATATTGATAAATTATGTCTTTTAGTATAAATCATTGCTTTTATAAATAAATAATATAAAAACAAAAAGATAATTTTATTATTTTACTTGACAACTATTTACACATATAATTAAGGGACGGATATTATAAGGAAACATGGGAAGGTGTTTGGGTCACACCTTTATATCTTGATGGTGAGACAAAAAAAACAAAATTAAATGACTACAGCAAATAAAAAACAAGACAAAAAGTGCATTACCGTATTGATTTAGCCTAGGCAGCAGCGTGCTGTAGCCAGGCGGTCATTTTCGGCGGCCTGGCAGAGGGTGCCTCGCCTGGCCCAGACACATTTCCAGGGCTCCATCCAAATGCACTCCAGGCAGCATCCAGGCAGCTGTTTGCCCAGGCAAAATCAGTCCAGGGTGCAAACCAAACAAGCCCAAGGCCAAACGAGGAGGGTGCCTCGTTCGGGTCGTCCCGTCGCGGCTGCCGGCCGGCCCTTGGAATCGGGTCTTGCCGGTCACTTGCGCACGCATCTCTGGTCGGTTTGGTTGAGTCGTGAACTTTCAAAACCTGCTGTGAGTTATAAAAAAGATAATAAAAATTTAGGCTAGCGCCCGAACTCAAGGCCCGAGTACGGACGCAGCTACCGTGCCCCCGTGCCCGCATCTCCACGCGCTCCGTCCCGTTTCTAACCAATGTCAGCGTCCAGAACTGCAGCCTGTGTCCGTCTCGTGCACCGCATGGCAGAACCGCACCCCGCGCCCATCCTGCATCCGCATCGTGAAAACGTGCCCCGCGTCCACACGGCGGACAGCGGCCTGCAACACAAGATCTACTTTTGAAACATTTAGATTAAACATTTGCAACATACATCTGAAAACAGATGAAACACTTGAAACATCTATTTGAAAACAGGCGAGTATAGCCATTGTAATATGTGCAACACCAGATCAACTTTTGAAACATCTAAATAAAACATTTGCAACAAACATCCATTGCAATATGTGCAACACCAGATCAACTTTTGAAACATTCAGATGAAACATTTGAAACAAACGTCTAAAACACCTGAAACACTTGAAACATACTATCAGCGATATGGGCCAGGGGTACCTGCGCCACCCATATATGACCATCACCTAGCTATCGGCCCAGCAGCCGTCAAGGAGGAGCCCCACAAGGGTTGACACGGTCGACTAAAGTGGAGATCAAGGCAAACCATGGCAGGCATATCTATATGATAGTTAGGATCAATCTGTTGTAACAAACTACTGAAACAATCTATTAGCCCGATCGCCCTCTCTGTAATCCTACCTCTCCTACCTATATAAAGGAGGGTAGGGACCTCAGGCTCGGGATCCAATCTTCCACCAATTCCATCTACCTTGTAGCTAGGAGCAACAACCTTTGTAATTGAGCATACGAATACAAGAGAAGCCGCACCACTGGAGTAGGGATTAACATGTACCACACCCCAAACCAGTATAAATCTCTATGTCTCATGTGCTACCATCTAATTCTATCTATGCGATCACATTGCTGGATATTATCGGAGCAAAACAATCCAATAGTTGGCTCGCCAGGTAGGGGCCTTTCGTGTTTAGATTTTTTGTGTGTTTTAGATGGGAATCATCTTTGACTTTGGCGATGAACCGGAGAAGTTGCAGCTGGGCATGAGGATCCTCTTCGGCAAGCTCGACTTCATCACGGACCGGTTCAGGGACCTACGCGTGCAGGAGCCCAAGCCGACCAAACGGGACGAGGAGCAGTCGCTCCAGATCCATGCTTTCATCACCGGATGGAGAAGGCTGTCGATGGAGGACCGCTCGCCGCCGCCCGGCATATAACCCACCACGGTCAGCTTTTCACCGAACCCGGCCAAGAGCCTAGACTCAACGCCACCCTTTTATTCCATAAGATCAGGGATCCAGTCTTGTCAATGCATGCAGTACCCGATCTGATTCATTCCCAATCCTCGGGAGTGCCAACACCTATGGTGATGACTCGCCCGAACCAACCCCTTCAGGCTGTCATGCTATCGTCCGGATCTCCTACAGAGAAACTGAAAACCCACGTCATACTGATTGGGATCCCCATGATGATGACTTCAGCTCAAACCTAGTCGAGGTCACCATCCACAATCTCAGCCAGGGCGGTACCATCCTGGAACAATCGAACTCCTCCGATGAGAGCGATCGACACCATGACATGGGAGCCACCAAGCTCGCTAACACAGCAGCTCCGTGCCTTTCTCTCTACGACCGTTACCAGTCACGTGGAGTTAGCCACAAGGATGTTGACGATGATTACATCATCTTGCATACACGTAGTTGCGATCTCGGTGTGAACGGTCATGAGGGGAACGGGTACATCACACCCGAGTATTCCTCCCACGATCATGTCGAGTTTGATTATGTAGTGCCTTATGAGACCAGCCAACAGGCCTAGGATCGTCTGCTTAATCACAATGACATGTTGGCAGAGGAAAATCAGAAACTTTGATGTCAGCTCCAATAGTAGAATGCCGCTAGGGGCCGTCAGGCCCACAACAACATTCTACAAGCAGCTCTGGTATATCCTAACGCCAAGGAAAACTTGGCCGAGGCCATGAGGGAGGCAATGACAATGCCACAACCATCCACAGAAGAGGGCCGACAAGCTTTCCAAAGGATTCAAGAGCTAATAGCGGCCACTGCCGACCGCATACCAGCACCTAGCGATGCGTCTACTAGACGCAGCCGCACACCCCGAAACTTGGGGGCTCAACTGCCGCACCGATCTAACTGATCCCCATACCACAACCACAGACGCCGCTAAGATCCTGCCTCGCAATCGGGCGATGATGGTGGTGGACAGGGAGGTGGCGGGCGAGGAGGTGGCGGCGGAGAGCGCTCTCTCAATGGAGGGAGTCACGAGGATAACGGGGCAAATGACGACTCGGGGAGCAACTATTGCTCTGATGGCGAGGCCGATACCCATCATGATGGGAGAAACCTCAGGAACCAACTCGAGCCAGCACCACGCACCGCCGGGGGCGACCCCTGTGACTTGGTAGGACCTCCCGCATTCGGATATCAAATCCGGTTGGCTCCCATGCCCCGCAGGTTTCGTGCTCCCAACATTGAAAAACATGACAGTGAGACAGACCCAAAGATTTGGCTGGTAAACTGCCAACTTGCCATGAAAGCGGCATCCACATTAGATACGTTTTCAAGATTCAGTACCTTCCGGTCTACCTCACCGACTCCGCCAAAAACTGGCTAAACAACCTTCAGGAAGGCATGATCAAGCGATGGGCTGACCTCGAGAAGGCGTTCTGTAATCACTTTGAAGGAGCTTTTACTAAGCCAGGCACCTCGTGGGACCTCATGGGATGCAAATGCAAGACCAGCGAGAGTCTCCTTGATTACATAAGGCGTTTCACACAGCTGCAAGAATAAGCTTGAGGACATCCTCGATGCTAGCATCATCACTGCCTTCACCATCGGTGTCGACAGCGAACCCCTCATTTGGGACATTGGGCGAAGGAAGAACATCAGTCTCCGCAACATGTTTGCCTTAGCCCACGAACATGCCGACGGCGAAGATTGCTTCAACGCTAGTAACGACAAATATAAGTCGCGACTCACCAATGACGTCGACCAATCCGCCCTAACCAAGAAGGATCGTAAGCGTCGAGGTGAGCTCGTGGCCAACGCCGAGAAACAAGAAGGCAACAAATTCAAACAAAACCACGGTTTCCCAGTGAATCACTTGGCCAGGGACTGCCATACTTACAAATGTGAGATCATTGAAGCTGGCAAGGGCAAGACGAAGGGCGGCCACCCAAAGAAAGGGAAGGACAATGCTGTTGAGGATGATGAAGGCGGCTACCCCAACATCGAGGGCATCATGATCATCTTCGGGGGCCCATAGGCCTACGAGGATCGCCATCGTGAAAAGGTAACCCAGCGTCTCATCTTTGCCACTGCGCCTGTAGTTCCTATCTATTTAAGATGGTTGGAGCACCCAATCACCTTCAATAGGGACGACCACCCCGATCACATCATCGAGGCTGGTCAGTTCCCTCTAGTGGTCAGCGTGGTTGTGGGAGGCGTAAAGATGACCAAAGTCCTTATGGATGGAGGAAGCAGCATCAACATCCTTTACAAGGATGCATTCAAAAAGCTAAACCTCGAGACAAGCAAACTACGTCCCCCACATTCTCCATTCCATGGGATCGTCCTTGGACAATAGGTTATGCCCCTCGGCATGATCACTCTGTCTATCACGTTTGGTGACCAGGTACACTACCGCAAGAAGACACTCTCCTTCAAAGTCGTAGACTTCGAGGGTCCTTACCACACCATCCTTGGGAGACCCTGCTATGCCAAATTCATGGCAATCCCCAGTTACGCCTACGTCAAGCTCAAAATGCCAGGCCCCCATGGTATCATCACCGTCGTGGGTAGTTTTCAAGATGAATACAAGTGTGAGAGGCTGACTGTTGAACATGCCCAATAGGACCTGATCCTGGATGAGTCAAAACATGCTTATGAGGGCAAACAAGAGGCGGGCTCGGGAGCGCCCTGATGCTCACCCTGAACCCCAGAGCACCGGCTCATGCTAGAAACCCCGGCCAACATTTTACCTCCTGATTCCAAGGTTTCTGCTTCACCAGCTACACTGGCGCCACCAGAGGCACCCGATTTGCCCGAAGAAGCAAAACCAGAAGAGGAGAAAGATGACCCGGCCGCCAGGGAGGATCCCGTGACTGGGGCCTAGAGCACCAACGATGCAAACCGCAATAAACCTCGGGTCAACCCCTAGCAAAGGAGGGACAAACTCCACCAGTGCTGTTAACATGCACTAATCCTTGTTTTCTCACCTTTATATATAATATATATATGGTTGCTATGCATGAAAGGGTCTTACACCTCAGACAGCTAAGGAAATACTTTTCTATAGAATGGCTCGGGGGCTACGTCCTAAATGCTATGCAACATCTCCCCCTGAGTAAAGCCATAATGGCCAGTCAACACTCGAGCTCGGGGGCTTTGCACTGACATGGCAATACCAAGATAGTCGCTTTGGTTAGTGTGGTCTCAGCACTCAGGCATGTTATACTAACCCGCCCAAGTGCTTGGGGGCTACAACTACAATACAATCATGCAACTATCGATCTGCAAAGCATAATTTTATTCAGATAATATTTTACACAAAAAGCAAACCAACAGGACCCGACCTCAATGAGGAGTGTCCTTGATGACTTGCTTTACATTTACAATCACCGCAATGGCATTGGTGGTGATGCCAAAATCGGTAATCAGCCATCTGACGTCGACGTCTTTGGGCACCTCCGTCCACGACAGGAACCCAGGCTCCATCGTAAGTAGGTCCACCTCTGGCTGAAGACAAAGGTGAGCAACAGCAAGGGCCGATGCGGCCCCATGGCAAATGCCATGTGCTGTTACCTCCCTGATTCACGCCAGGAGGCTAAGAGCCTGCTTGTGAAGGTTTGACCCCGTTGGTTGTACCAACATGACGGCGGCCTCCACTGCCCTCTCCAGCGCCACACAGCGATTGCTATTAATCTACGCCATGGCGGCATCGCCACGCGCCCAATCTATTGACTCATGATGCAGATGAGTCACCTCCACCAGTCTACCAGCTAGCTCCTCGTTGGCCCGACGAAGATCTATCGCTTCAGCCACGACAGCGCCTAGCTGCTCTTAAATCGCTGAAAAACGTGGAGGTTCAAAGTTAAGACAAGAAGCAATTTCACAAAGGAAACAAAGAAGTTCAACTCACCGGCGAGCTTAGTGTGGGTCACCACATTGGATGCCCTAGCATCGGCCGCCTCCCCGTCTACGGCACCGAGTGCAGTCTCGGCCACCGCAAGGCACTCCTTCAGCCGTTCCACCTCCATACACCCACTCCAAAGGGACTGCCTGGCCATGACCAGCTCCCCTTGCACATTGTGGATGTCGTGCTCATCTCCTTCGCATTCCTCATCATCGGAGGAAGAAGGCGAGGCCGGTGGTAGCATGGCTTGCGTTGCCGGGGGACATGACGGTGATAGGGCCTCTCGGACAACGGCGGGCTATGGTATTGAGCACGCCGACGAGAAACAACTACACCAATAAACACATCAGATCCATCCCCAATGAAGTCAATAGCAATATCTATGCTTACCTAAACCCCATCAAGCCCAGGCGAAAGGCCTGAGCGGAGGGAGGCATGCCCCTCATGATAGATCCCTCCTCAGGCTCCTTCCACTGGCGCTTCTCTTTGGCCATGGATAGTAGGCAAGATCTGACGGCGACAGGAGATATGACGAGCAAAGGAAGGCGAGTGTGCAAAGGCTGCTATGCATATGTACTAACTCCCCTCTGAAAGCTCTAGTTTGGTTTTGGATGAAACCCTAAGTGCTAACCTAGTTTATCAAAGTGATTATGAGATAGGTAGCACTACTCCAAGTGATTAAGCATGTGAAGATCATGACATGATGATGGTGATGGCATGGTGATGATCAAATGCTTGGACTTGTAAAAGGAGAAAGAAAAACAAAAGGCTCAAGGCAAAGGTGAAATTGATAGGAGTTTTTTTTGGTTTAGTGATTGAGACACTTAGAGAGTGTGATCACATTTAGGATTGATAGCCATACTATTAAGAGGGGTAAAACTCGTATCAAAATGCGGTTATCAAAGTGCCACTAGATGCTCTAACCCATTGCATATGCATTTAGAATCTAGTGGAGTGCTAACACCCTTGGAAATGTTTGTGAAAATATGCTAACACACATGCACAAAGGTGATACACATTGTGTTTAGCACTTGGGAGCAAGGGTTCAAAACTTCACCAGCGGAGTGTCCACCCATAGAGTGCAGAAAGTCCGATGGTGCCACTGGCGCCCTGCACAGAAAAGACAGCGTTTCACAGAGTGCACCGGACGCTGGTCACGTAGTGACCGGACGCTAGGGTCTTGCGTCCGATCAGTAGCGCACAGTGAGGCCACCCTAGGTCTATTGACCGGACGTAGGCGACCAGACTCTGGCTGAACACTATTCAACGTTCGGTCGTGTTGATGTGGCGGCGCATAGAGGAAACGGTGAGTGACCGGACGCTGGGTGAGTCCAGTCGGGCATGACCAGACGCATCCTATCACGAGTGGAACCTTACTAGAAACGATCGGATGCTAGGGGTCCTACGTTCGGTCACTTTCAATTAGTGCCTCCCATCACAACTTAAATGTACTAATGACCGTTGAGATCGGGCGATCAACGTTTGAAGTAGGGGCCACGTGGCGTGCGTCGCACGACCGGACGCTAGGGTCCTGCGTCCGATCGATATGACCGGCATGTCCGGTCGCCCTGAATTTTCAGTGAATAGAGAGCTAATGGCTCTATTCGTGGGGGCTCTCTATTTAAGCTAGCTGGCTTAAGCTCACTCTCTTGGCCATTTGCTTTTATATAGCAACCTTGTGAGCTTAGCCAAAGCCCTCCCACTCATCTCCATCATTAATTCATCATGTTTGTGAGATTGGGAGAGAATCCAAGTGCATTGCTTGAGTGATTGTATCTAGAGGCACTTGTCACCGAAACCGATGTCTCAACCTTGTGGAGAAGGAACCCATCCATGTAACTACAGAGGCCGTGGGACCAAAAGGTCTAAAATTCGATGCACCGTCACCTGACCCAGTGTAGGCGAGTGGTCTGACATATAGATCGGGTACTTGGCCCGGCTCACCCCTTCAGTAGGTGTAAGCGGTAGCGATTCATTCGCTATCGACCCTGCCCCTCTAGAGTCGGGGGGTATTCGGTAGGGTCACCAGTCTGACTCTAAAACCTCTGACACTCGGTGTCACGTAAATCTCCCAATACCCGGACGAGCTCAAAGTACCTTATTTTAGCGGATGTGTGCCCCTTTGGGGGAAACCGATAAATTGGTTGGCCCATGGCTATAACCAAAGTACGAGCTCTTGGAATATGGAAAAAGAGTTTTATGATGTGCCCCCGCTGGTCTAGATTTGTCCTGTCACTTTCTTTCAGTGAAGTGGATGTTCACTCGTTCTACCCGTTATCAGCTCGAAGAGTAACACATGCAACTGCCGATAGCTGCTCATGCGTTTGGTCACTCACCCACAATGATGCCCGCACTAGGACACTATCATACTAGCCTCAGGGCTCTAGGACAATGTCCTCACTCTTTCACTAATGGGGTTCATGAAAATTCGTATCACGTTACTTAACGGTTCTTGAAGAAAAACGTGACACCCTTAATGTTCAACATGCAACAGGTCACCCTAAAAATCAATTGTCTTAGTGACGCGAGGGCAATGGAGGTGCACCTACCCCATCATCGTTATTGTTTACAACTAGGACTTCATGATGCGCAACCACTATTTATGTGCCGGAATACATCGGGAACCAACTTCTCGAGTACAGCGGTATTTCTACCC